TGAAATAGGCTTTAAATTTTTTATTAATCTAAAACGTTGATTCTTATTACCTTTCTTATAATATTTTTTTTCAAAATGTTTGATGCATATAACGGAAGAATTAGTAGGTGTCCAATCTTTTCTATTTACAAATTTAATCCAATATTTTTTTAACACTTCATTTTTTGGAAACGAAAATACTACTGTAGATACTTCACCATAACTATGATAATTTGAACGACAATTTACGACGCAACATTTGTTAACCATCTTTTTGAACTTCCAAAGCTGCTTTCTTAAAAACACTTTTCCAGAAAACTGGCCTTCTATTTTTTTCTTCAAAATGTAAAATATCCGGCCGTATAAATAAAGTAGGCCATGCATCCCATTATGGTAAAACGGCTAACGTAGAGGCATGCATGGGATTTGTATTATGGATTGTAAGATGGTAGTAATATCATAATAAAATTAAACAGAGTATTTATAGGAATGCACTTTTAATTTACTAACCTCTTCATTATAGCTATCACAAGTTTTTGACAGTTCGCGAGGTTAGAATTATTTTGTTCTATCTCCACTTTTTGAAAAAAATGAGTTATTAATTGTGTAATGCATCTCAAAATAATGTTTTTCTACTATATTAAAACCTAAGTTAAAATCAAAAAAGTTTCGTAGAAAACATACGTAATAAAAATCTTTTTATATGTCGTCTCCTAAAGTTTTTATTTTTTAAATCGTTTTATCTCGAAACAAAAAAATGTGGAGAAAGAACAAAATAATTCTAACCTCGCGAGTTCTTACCACTAATATTTTGAACTCTTTGTTTTTAATAGAAAGAATTAATGGAAATCTGACAATTTCTAATCAAGTAGTAAAAATTATATATTGTAAATAAAATTAAAAAAAAAAAAAAAATCTGTCAAATCAGATTTAGCAATTTACAACTGCAGAGATACTACAGAGTTACTGGATGAAACATTGTCAAGTGCTGAGTCAAACTTATCAAATTCTATTATGCTGTTTATTTCAGTTACTAATCCTCCTTCACACTATTTTATATTAAGTTTTTTGCATCCTTGGGTTTTTATCTCATTTAAGAGAAGCAACACACAATATTGAAAGTCTAAACAAATTTACACTTATTAAATTTTGCATAGTCTTAACTAAACTAAGTAAATAAATAATATTAAAGAACATAAATTCAACAATTTAACAACTTTACTGGTCTAACCCTAAATCAGAGAAAAACTAATAGACAGTGAAATACCTAATAGTGGCAATGCTAAATTATATATATATTAGCGTTTTTCTCAGATTTCGGGTTAGACAAGAAAGATTGTTCCATAGATTTATAGTTTTGATAATATTGAAATAATGGATTTCAGAAGGTGATTATTTAAAGTTAAAATTGGAACCTCATCATTTTAATGATGTTTTTTTAATATTGACAGTCATGTTAGCATTTTACAACAAACATTATAATAGTATTTTTAACTAAAGACTTACTTGCTTGAGATAATGGAAATCCATAATGTTTATCCGTTTTATTTAAAGATGATGAAGATTGATGTGTCTTAAAATAAATCTCTTGGTCATCACAATCAATATCATCTTTGTTTATTATTTTTTGACCTACACAACACAAACATAGAGAATATTTGAATTTCATCTAACAACTTGTTCTCTCATATAGCAATTTTACGATTAAAAAATTTTTACAAATTACTTTACAGATTAATAACTTTATAAGTAAAACAGGGTATTTAGTATGGTATATAATATTATAGGTCTCATACTGCTAAACATTTGGTAATAACACCAGAATATCAATAAAGAATAAAAATTTTAAAATGACATTTTGAAGTAAGTCACTCTTATTCTTGAAACAAATCATCATATTTTTTCCTTTCAGCCTTTTTAACTATAGTAATTCCTTTATAAAAACCACTGATATTATCATTTTTATTTTTTAGAGTTAAAGAAGAAAAACTCTGAGAATGTTGTTCCCTTTTCTCAAATCCAAACTATTTTTTTTGCGTTAAAAGCAGTTGATAATTAAGTAGAATTAAAAACTTAATCTAGTTTTTTTAAGCATTCAAGTTTACTCAACAATTAAGTTATTTAATAGAGTAAAATAATCTAGTTAACCGCACCATTAAAACTTTCTTAATCATATCTACTTGATTCAAGTAGAAATACAAACACAACCTAGTTTCAACGAAAGCATACAACTTTAAACTAAAAATACTCCAATATATTTTCAAATTTAATTCTACAAGAAAACAATACAAACACTTGGTTGATTTAAATATATACTAATTTATATAATTTTTACATAAATAAATCAATTCGCCTAATCGAAGGTCACGCCATTATTTGCGTAAACATACTCTTTTAGATTATGCCGTGCTGTACGTTTAAAAAATTTTTTTCATCACGTTAAAAAAACGTTTTAAAAACGTTCATTAGCTAACTGAGAAACTTCGTAAGTTAATAAAAAAAATAAAACGTTTAAAAAACGCTAAAAAAACGTTTAAATTAACATTAAAAAAAAGCGTTTTGCAAAAAAACGTTTTAAAAACGATTGTATTGGTTCTTTTAACGTCCGACCGTAAATTGAACGGAATTAAAACGTTTTTAAAACGTCTTGTGCTTACTGGATATAAACCGTAAATTTTTCCTAAACACATTGTAGCAAAATTAACTTTTGACTACTTGCCTGATTATTGTGGTAACACATGAAATTTTAAGTCGCAATATAATATTATAAATATTAGCATTTAGCTAATATAATAGCAATATAATATTATAAATATAGCATTTAGCTAATTCCTGATACTGCAGGTGACAGTAATATATATATACTATATAGCTCTAGTTTATCTATTGAGCATTCTTTAAAATATACATTAGTATACATGATAATATATATACATATATATATATATATATATATATATATATATATTTATATATATATATATATATATATATATATATATATATATATATATATATATATATATATATATATATATATATATATATATATATATATATATATATTAAATATAATTTTTACTTATGTGTATTATAAAATTATATATATGTTTAAAACATATATTTGTAATTTAAAAACTTATTACTATTATTATTATTATTTTATTAATATTATTATTATTATTATTATACTATTATATTATTATTATACTGTAATAATATTATAATTGTTCAGATTGTTTGTTTTAAATATATAGTTAAATCTTTAAGTTTGTGCATCAACTGCTCACGAATCACACAAAGTCGATTGTTGATGCAATAATTACAGATTCGTTACAGCGATCAATTTGCTCCTGTTTAAGTGCCTTTAATCAAACAGATATCATCATTACGATATTACTTTGTTTGTAAATTGTTTTAGAAAATAAATTTAAAATTAACTTTTAAATAATTTTTTTATTTTTCTTGTTTTTTTAACCAACAAGTTCTTTCAAACAGTTTAATAATAGTACCTATGAATTTGGGAATATGTTCTTAAAAAGAACGTATTTTAAACGTTCAAAACACGTTTTTAAATGGTTTAATTTGAGTTATTTAAGAACGTTTTTTTATCGTTTGTTTTAGAACGTTTTTTAAACAACTTTTTTAGAACGTTTTTTAAACGCTTTTTTAAAAACGTTTTTAAGGTATTGTCGTTCTGAACGTTTAAAAAACGTTTTTTTTTTAGTTAAAAAAACGTTTTAAAAACGTTAATGTGCTATTTCTGCACAACGCTGCTTCCTGTGCAAAGCTTTCTCTAACGAATTTAATGACATTATTAATATTATAAAAATGGACATAACTACAGATAATTTAAGATTTTGCGTATCTAGATTGCATGCATAATTACGTTTTTTCGAGTGCTGCTTTCATTTGTTGTATAAGCTAACAACTGAAAAGTGGCATGATCGTCAAGAGGAAGAGAAAAAGAATGTGAATATACGTAAGGAAGAAATACAGACTGAATTTAGGATAAAACTGGGGCTTATTTTTAATCAACTAAAGCTAGGCCATTCAAAACTTCAGACTACATCATTTCAAGATAAAGCTCAAGAGAATCGAATATGAGAGACATTTTTTAATAAGATCTTATTAACATCAGACCCATTTTTCTCAAACATCAGGAAATTCGCCCAGGACCGGCAAAATCTCTACATCAAGAGGCTATACAATTGTTAAAACAAGCTGATGTCATCAGTCAAGAGACAAGGAAAGATTTCAATTTAAATTCAAGTGGTTTAACATCAGATTCCGAACCGAATTATTCGAACATTGATGAATATGACGTGATTTTTGATACTAAGGTTAAAGAATTTTTTTAGATATATATGACGCAATCTTTGACCACTTTACGTATGTCATGTTTCTCTATAATAAATTATAAATGCATAATTTAATAAAAAAAGAAATAAAACTAAAATGCAAATTTCTGTTTTTTTATGAATAGTATAAATTTGGTAATAATTTTGAAATGTTTTTGCTTTAATTTAACTCCTGAACCATAAGTGATGACCTCGAAAATCAACTTCATGAGATTTCACTTCATATTTTATATGAAGTGAAATCTCATGAATTTTATATGACATATTGGAGTCTCAATTTTGAATTTTTTAAATCTGACCTCAGATTCGTAATCAGTAAACACTTCGTTAAAAAAGTTTCTAGTTTCTTAGTTAAAAAAACGTTTTTAAAACGTTTTTTTAACTAAGAAAAAGAACGTTTTTTAAACGTTCTGAATGGCAATACCTAAAAAACGTTTTTAAAAAAGCGTTTAAGAAACGTTCTAAAAAAGTCGTTTAAAAAACGTTTTGAAAAAACCGTTTAAAAAACGTTCCCAAATAACCTAAATTAAACCATAAAAAAACGTCTTTTAAACTTTTAAAAGACGTTATTTTTTAGAAAATATTCCCAAATCCATAGGCACTATTATTAAATTATTTTTGAAAGAACTTGTTAGTTTAAAAAACAAGAAAAATAAAAAGTTTATTTAAAAGTTATTTTTAAATTTATTTTTTAAAACAATTTACAAACAAAGTAATATTATAACGATGATATCTGTTGGATTCAAGGCACTTTAAGACAAGCAAAAGTTGCCCGCTTTCACGAATCACCAATTATTGCATCGACAATCGACTCTGTGTATTATTCGTGAGAAGTCGATGCACAAACTAAAAGAAAAAACTATATATTTAAACTATGTATTTAAATATATATATATATATATATATATATATATATATATATATATATATATATATATATATATATATATGTATATATATATATATATATATATATATATATTTATATATATATATATATATATATATATATATATATATATATATATATATATATATATATATATATATATATATATATATATATATATATATATATATATATACATATATATATATATATATATATATATATATATATATATATATATATATATATATATATATATATATATATATATATATGTATATACATTTTTGGCACAATATAAATAAAACAGCATCACATTGAAATAAAAATGACTCTGCATTGTCAGTAATAAGCGCCACTAATAAAACATAAGAAAATCTGACTAAAGAACTAGTATTTTGTATGCCCTCCATGCGCATCAAGCACGGTCTGTACAACTCTTGGCATAGACTGTACCAGCTTTTGGATTGAGTCAACAGGGATTGCTAGCCATGCAGCTTGCAAATGTTGCCACAAACCATTCAGATTGCTGGGTTTGGTTTTCTGTACTTTTCTGAAGAGCTCCTCCTACAAATTTTCAATGGGGTTCAGGTCAGAACTTTGTGGAGGCCATTCAAAAGCATTGGTACTAGCATGTTTGAGATATTCCATTACTTTCTTAGCTTTGTGGCAAGAGGCATTGTCCTGTTGAAAGAAAAATGGTTTGTTTTTACCAAATAGTTTGTTTGCTGATGGTTTCATTTGTGTTTTTAATATTTCCAAATATTTATCCTGGTTTACCGTGCCTGTACAACAATATAAATGACCTTAACCTGATCCTGACATGCAACTTCATACCATAAGAGAGCCTCCTCCATGCTTTACTGTATGAGAGGATTAAATCATTCACCAACACTCAGAAGAATAAATCAGTCACCAACTATTCTCCTAACATAAGCTCTTTTAGCTCCACAGATAACAGTAAAGGTACTTTCATCACTCCATAGCATTTTATTCTATTGTACGACAATCCAGGTTTTGTGCAACTTCGCGAATATCCTTTTTTTCGCGATGCTATCAGGTCGCAATAAAGGCTTCTTTGCAGCAATTCTCCTGTTCAAACCAGCTTGCTCTCTCTCTCTCTCTCTCTCTCTCTCTCTCTCTCTCTATATATATATATATATATATATATATATATATATATATATATATATATATATATATATATATATATATATATATATATATATATATATATATATATATATATATATATATATATATATATATACATACAGTGCTTGAAGAGGAGAATAAAAGGAAACAGGTTAGTATTCGGTAAATTAGAAATACAATCCTGCCTAATAATTGTTATATATTGATTTATATATATATATATATATATATATATGTTATATAAATATATATATATATATATATATATATATTTATATATATATGTATATATATATATATATATATATATATATATTTATAAACGTACCTTTTATTAAGTATAGCTTGGTTAGACTAAAAAGATCCTTAGCCTTTTCCAGCTGCCATATTAGATTTGGCCATGAGTTAATTTGTCATAAAACTAAAACTAATATATTTTAATAATTTTATATCTTATAATTTATGAAATTATAATTAACAACTGTATTTAAAATTTTTTTTCTTTTTTTTCATAAAATTTAAATGTAATTAAACATTTAGATTTTAATTTAACGATACAATTTTTCTATTAATTAAATCCAATCTATTTAAAAAATAGCACACTAACCATTAATGTAGTCCAGATCATAAGTGCACACTAACCATTAGTGTAGTCATATATATGAATATTATCTGGGTTAAAAGAATTATCTGGACTAAAGTTTAAAGCTATAGGATTACCTATAGCTTTAAACTTGCAAACTGGAAAAAGTGAAATTTGGCATTAGTGCGCCGAACAGGTTAGCAAACATTACGAACAGACATAAGTGCAAAATTTGATTATGTACAAAACAGTTACAAAAACTGGCAGAAGTGCGAATTGACATAAGTGCGTGTAATAAATTTGCAGTTTGGAATTATGCTAAATTTTGCAAATTTTTTATGCACACTTATGCCAGTTCACATTTATGTTGTTTGCACTTTTGCGAGTTTTTGCAACTGCTTCACACTTATACCAGTTTCCACTTATGGCAATTGACACTTATGCAAATGTTTGTAAATCTATTTAGCGCAATTATGCCAACTTACACATATGCCAGTTTGCACTTATAGCAGATTGCACTTATGCCATAGTTTGGAATTCTTTTTGTGCAGTTATGCCCATTTGCACTAATGCCATTTGGCATTGTGCCAGTTTTTGTAACTGCTTCGCACATGTGCTAGTTTGCGCGTATGAACTTTACGGTTATTCAGTCTTCCATTATGGTAAAACGGCTAACGTAAAGCCATGCATGGGATTTGTATTATGGATTGTAAGATGGGAGTAATATCATTATAAAATTAAACTGAGTATTTAAGGGAATGCACTTTTAATTTACTAACCTCTTCATCATAGCTATCACAAGTTTTTGACAGTTCTTACCACCAATATTATGAACTCTTTGTTTCTAATAGAAGGAAATCTGACAATTCCTAAATAAGTGGTAAAAATTATGTATTGTAAAGAAAATTAAAAAAAAAAAAAATTCTGTTAAATCAGTATTTAGCAATTTACAACTGCAGAGATACTACAGAGTTACTAGATGAAGCATTGTCAAGTGCTGAGTCAAACTTATCAAATTCTATTATGCTTTTCATTTCAGTTACTACTTCTTCTTCACACTATTTTATATTAAGTTTTTTGCATCCTTGGGTTTTTATCTCAATTAAGAGAAGCAACACTCAATATTGAAAGCCTAAACAAATTTACACTTATTAAATTTTGCATAGTCTTAACTAAACTACGTAAATAAATAAATTTAAAATACATAAATTTAACAATTTAACAACTTTACTGGTCTAACCCTAACTCAGAGAAAAACTAATAGACAGTGAAATACCTAATAGTGGCAATGCTATATTATATATATTAGCTTTTTTCTCAGATTTCGGGTTAGACAAGAAAGATTGTTCCATAGATTTAGAGTTTTTATAATATTGAAATATTGGATTTGATGAAGATTATTTAAAGTTAGAATTGGAACCTCATCATTTTAATGATGTTTTTTTAATATTGACAGTGATGTTAGCATTTTACAACAAACATTACAATAGTATTTTTAACTAAAGACTTACTTGCTTGAGATAATGGAAATCCATAATGTTTATCCGTTTTATTTAAAGATGATGAAGATTGATGTGTCTTAAAATAAATCTCTTGGTCATCACAATCAATATCATCTTTGTTTATTATTTTTTGACCTACGCAACACAAACATAGAGAATATTTGAATTTCATCTAACAACTTGTTCTCTCATATAGCAATTTTACGATTAAAAAATTTTTACAATTTACTTTACAGATTATTAACTTTATAAGTAAAATAGGGTATATAGTATGGTATATATTATAATAGGTTTCATACTGCTAAACATTTGGTAATAACACCAGAATATCGTTAAAGAATAAAAATTTTAAAATGACATTTTGAAGTAAGTCACTTTCTTTCTTGAAACAAATCATCATATTTTTTCTTTTCAGCCTTTTTAACTATAGTAATTCCTTTATAAAAACCACTGATATTATCATTTTTAATTTTTAGAGTTAAAGAAGAAAAACTCTGAGAATGTTGTTCCTTTTTCTCAAATCCAAATAAATTTTTTGCGTTAAAAGCAGTTGATAATTAAGTAAAATTAAAAACTTAATCTAGTTTTTTTAAGCATTCAAGTTTACTCAACAATTAAGTTATTTAATAGAGTAAAATAATCTAGTTAACTACACCATTAAAACTTTATTAATCATATCTTTAAACTAAAAATACTCCAATATATTTTCAAATTTAATTCTACAAGAAAACAATACAAACACTTGGTTGATTTAAATATATACTAATTTATATAATTTTCACTTAAATAAATTAATTCGTCTAATCGAAGGTCACGCCATTATTTGCGTAAACATACTCTTTTAAATATTGTCGTGGTGTACGTTTAAAAAAATTTTTTTCATCACGTTAAAAAAACGTTTTAAAAACGTTTATAAGCTAACTGAGAAATTTCGTAAGTTAATAAAAAAAATAAAACGTTTAAAAAACGCTATAAAAATGTTTAAATTAACATTAAAAAAAGCGTTTGCAAAAAAACGTTTTTAAACGGTTTTATTGGTTCTTTTAACGTCCGACCGTAAATTGAACGGAATAAAAACGTTTTAAAAACGTCCTTAGCTTACTGGGTAGCGACCTCGAAAACCCTCATGTTGGTAATTTGGGAATTTTGGCCACAAAATCGGGATTTCGTCCCATTGTGTGACGTTGCTCAAATGTCTGTATGTTTAATAAGGCTGGTTCAGTAATCTGTTGTTTAAAAAATAATTTAAGTAATATTTTAAAAATTTATTCATATAAACTCCTACTGCTACGCCTCTGGTTGAAATGAATAAACCCTATCTGTCTTTTGTTTGTTGTTTGTTTTTAAATTAAAAAAAAAACAAAAATGTTTTTATAATTTAAAAAATCTTAAATTAAAAAAAAAAACAAAAAAGCATAAAATAAACTAAAAAAAAAAATACAAAAAAAACATGTTTTTCTTTTGCAAAAAAGACACCAATTAAAAAAACTCCTACTGTTACGCCACTGGTTGAAATGAATAAATCCTATCCTACCGGTTTTTGCATTTAATCTGGTCGATTTTTGCACAAATCTGGTGGTTTTTTTTCATTTAGTCTGGTGGTTTTTTGCATTTAATCTGGTGGTTTTTTGCATTTAATCTGGCGGTTTTTTGCATTTAATCTGGCGGTTTTTACTTTATTCTCTATTAATGTCATCTTCTATAACACATTGTGTAAGAAAAGATTCGCAGTGTCTCACGAAGTATGAAAGATCATGTTTAGTAATGTGCTCACAACCGTTCCTTATTCGCTCTAACAAATCATTATTTCCAATCGGGGCTATTTTCTTCCTTGTAGCATTCTTAATTTTCGAGAATTTTTTTTCATAAGGATTTAAAAAAGGTGAGTATCATAAAAATCTGATAAAGAATGATGAAACTTAACGTTGTCCATCACCAAGGTAAACTCTTTTTCCTACCCCAAAATACTTTTAAGTGTACTTAAGAATCCCTTAAAGATATCTGCTGTCACCCCTACGCCAATTATTGCTTCACTGTGTACAATGTTTAAACACTTTAATGCTAATATTACAATTATGTTACGGCCTTTTAATGACAATACACGTTGATTTTAGGTCGCTACTTGGAGACTGTATCCATGGTTTCTTAACATATGAAGATTGAACGGACTTTTATCTATATAAATGTTATTTCTGAAACGTTGTTGCAATGTCAAGTTTAAATTACATGAAACGCATTTTTTTTTTCTTCTTTTACCTCTGCAATATTGCGTCTTTCACTAATGGGTCTAAAAAATTTGTATGTATAATTTAATTTTTTTAACCATCGCCATAATGTAGAAACATTGACATCAATTCACAATTCTACCTTTATTTCTTGTAGATTATAGCTTTTGTTATCTTCAATTAACTCTTATTGCCTATTTCTTATTTCTTCAGTACAACCTGACTGTCAAAAACCACCTCTAATACCAGGATTGATATACCTGTTAATAAATATCAATGGGCCAGGCGTCGTATTGAAGTCTCACTTCTATGCACGAGATCCAATTTTTCTTTTACACTTTTTCCTTCGTTAATTACAAAACTAATAATCAAATTTCTTACTTCAACATTAGTTTCTGAGCATTGTCTTCGTGCGTTATTTATTTTAGAGTTTTAAAAAATTGAAGAAAAAACGGGCTGAAATTGTGTATTAAGGCGAGTTTCCACTCATCCGTTTTTTCACGGGAACAGGAAAGAATCGGGAAAAACAATCACGTGGGCATGCCTAGCATAAGCTTTAATATGTCCGAAGAAAAACTACGCATGCTCACTGATCCCGTTCTCGTGAAAAAACGGATAAGTGGAAACTCACCTTAAGGAAGTTAAATTAAATAAAGCAACAAAAACAAAACTATTTATCATAATAAAGAAAAACCACCAGATTAAATGTAAAAAACCGCCATATTAATTGCAAAAAAACAGCAGATTAAATGCAAAAAACCGCCAGATTAAATGCAAAAAAACTGGAAGATTAAATAAAAACCCCCACCAGATTCGTGCAAAAATCCACCAGTTTAAATGCGAAAACCGGTATCTATGATATTTACTTGAATAACGAGGGTATATATAACCCCTAGAAGTATTGTAAATATACAAAGAATTTTATAAGTATAGGTTTAAAAATGTTTTAACTTAATTTAATTACATAAAAACTTATCTAAGATCTTACGTTTTGTCAATATTATCTGACTTATTTGTTTGTTTTTTTAACCCTCCTCCAGCGTAGTTAAACGAAACAGACGGTCAGATGGTTTTTTTTATTATTTCACTTTTATCATTTGAGTCTGCAGGAAATCGATTTTACTTAACATTATAACAGCAAGTTTAGTGTATTTTTAGATTTGTTTTAAGTATGCTTTTAATAAAATATATTCTTTATTGTAAATAATTTGTAATTTTTATATTTATAATGAATAGAAACGGTCGAGGCTAGAAAAAAGAAAAAATTGATTTAAACATTTTTGTTATTATTGATGTTATAGTTATATTAATAACATCAAAAAGGTTTAAACTAATTTTTTCTATTTTATAGTCTCAACCGTTTCCATTTAGGTAACTAAAGCGAGGATAAAAATTGTATATGTATTAGTAGAAATAAAACTTTGAGATTGTGACATACCATTAAAAAAGAATAAAACTTAAAAAATAGAATAGGATATAAAAACAAAAGACCAAATCGTCACCGTTTACATAGCTCAGGAAAAAGGACATAGTCTTAAATTTCAGTTAAATCTATTTTAATGTTTGTCAATATAACAAAATAATAGGTCGAGTCGTATTTTATGTACATAAACAAAAAAAGCGAAAACGCAACAAGGAATATTTAAAGTTAAAAAGTGCTTTAAAAAATATTATTGCATTATTATGCAACACCATCACAAACAAAAGAAAAATGTTTTGTTATGTCTAAAAATAAAAATCCCTTTTTAAAGAATATTTAAAACTTTTATATTTTTTTAATATAATCAATCCTGAAAAGTAAAAATTACATATTTTTTTGTGACTAAATATCTCATAACAAACTCTTGTAAATAAAGCCTTATGGCGCTTTGTTTTCTTTTATTGTAATTCTCATCTCAATAGAACAAAATGCTTTTTGTAATGGCATTTTTTAATTAAAAAAGCGCGTTAAAAATGAAGTGTAAAAGTATAAATAATATTATTTTGATAAACTCTTCTTATATTTTAGGTTTTATGTTTTTAACGTAACTTTGTGCAAAGTTTTATTAATTTCTTAATTTATACAAAGTCTTTTGTTCGAAAATACTTTTAAAACAAAATAACTCCATTTACTTTTTAATATGCAATAAACGAGTTGCGTTTTTCACTTAATTAGTTTGCGTACATAAAATACGACTCAACCAAAATAATACACTTTAAAATAGTTTGATTATACTTTAAAAAAAAATCTAATTTGATAGAAATTTCTAAAAAATAAGTCTGCAAAATACCATACTACCAAACTCGTGAAATGCATAGTTTTAAAAAACGTGGGATAAAATTTTAGCACAAATATTGGTTTTGTGAAATGCAGAATTTGATATACCTAGTATTACAGTATTTCACAGGTGAAGTTACTAACATTGATCAACTCCACAAAAAGTTATATGGTATTCAGTTACAAATTTTTGATATATGAATTTTTCGAAAAAACTGTAGTTAAAGTTTGATTTTTCCTTGAGATAATTGTTATATCTTTGTCAAATCTTATCTAAAGGTTAATAATTTATTATCAAAAGATAGGTGTAAAAGTGGGCTGTAAATATAAATTGTCTACAAGGTTTATTCAGAGGGAAAAAAAGGCCGTCAAACCACCATTTTACAATCAAAAATCGAATAGAAGGATGTCTCAGTGATGTTCATGCACCCTTGTATCAAAATTGTTTTATTCTTAAAATTATTTGATATTTATAAAAACAAGTCATGTTCTACCTGACATAGTCAATAAACAAGTTAGTTTTTGCATGAATTTCGTATTACTCCAGCTTCTGTTTCTAGAGTATTTTCCTGCTTAAACTTTTCTACAGCTTCTAGTCTACACGCTATACCTAATATAGTCTTGCAAAAGTGTACTCTTGAACTGTCATCTATACTATTTA